TTCCCCTTCTCTTTTCAGGTGGCGGATAAAAAGGGGAAGGACAATGTGGAGAGGACTAAGGGCTGCAGTATGTTGGACACTTTGGGAAGAAAGAAACTCCAGGATATTCTCAAAAGCTCAAAGAGGAGCAGAAGATCTGAGGGCTATCATTCATATTAGAACGGTACAGTGGCTGAAATCTTTGGAGCTTTTCACAGATTACACTGTGGATGACATGTTGGGGAAGTGGGGGGAAATTGCAAATTGCACACAGACTAAGTCAGTAATGAGTATGGCTTGGACCCCTCCACCTAGTGGATTCGTGAAACTAAACTTTGATGGGTGTAGCAGAGGAAATCCAGGACAATCGGGGATTGGGGGTGTTTTTAGGGATGAAAATGGGGTCAWTTCTGCTATGTTCTCAAGCCCAATTGGAGTGGGTGACTCCCTTAGAGCTGAGATCTTTGCAGTTATGGAAGGAGTACAGAAAGCTAAGGAGTTGAACATCAGGAAACTCTTAATTGAAGGGGATTCAGAGGTGGTGATAAGGTGGCTGATTAAAGATTACAATGGCTTATGGAAGTACAATAATGAGAGGAAGAAATTCAAGTGGCTGGTGCGGGAGATGGAAGTTAAGACACTTTGGGTTAAAAGATCAGCTAATTCCCTAGCTAACGGTTTAGCTAAACAAGGGGCAGAAAGGGATTCACTTTTTTGGGCTAAGCTGTAACTATAGTGTGTTTTCTTTCTTTTTTTCTTTTTTTGAGGTTCTTCGTTGCTCTTGGAAGATAAGTGTGTTTGTCTTCCTATTGTAAATCTTCTTTTGATGAGTTAATGAAAGTGTTACTGATCAAAAAAAAAATTTAGAAAATAATAAAAAGAAACTAGTAATGTAAACTCCAAAATAAATTTTAGTTTAGTAATGTCTATTTTGTTATTATAATCTCAAAAAGTTAAGAATATAAAAGTATTTCATAGCCCCATGCATAAATTAGCTTGGCAATTAAGGGATTTGACCCTCCATGGGTGCCTAACAGCAGAACAGTCAGCCAGGTCATTACTTCAAATCTAAACCCTTCATAATGCCCATAATTTTTGGAAGACATATATGCACATGGAGATCATCAATGCATAATCTCTTCTCTTAGCCGATTGGTGTGTGTGTGTGTGTGTAGCTTTCCAGCCAAGGAGGGACATATTTTTGCACATCTTCCTTTTTCCTTTCTCCACATACAGAAGGTCATCTATTATGAGTACTCATCATCATTGTCATCATCTAATCCTAGTGAGAACTATATGGGGTTGGCTACATGAATCCTGTTTTGCCATTCCTTTCTTTTCAGTGATACCACTGAAAGGCACAAACTGACATTATTTAACAACACTAAACTGTAGGTTATCCAATCTTCAAATGGTAAATTGGGAAGACAATCCAAAAATTACTAATACAAAAATGTCTCCACATCCCTTGATGCATTTATCCATAATGAAATAGAGCCATTTTTTTATGGAAAAACTATTACTGAATAACCCATGAGAATCCTCCCGAGTCCAATTCATCATCATCTAAGCTTTGTCCCAACTATATGGGGCCAGCTACATGAATCCTGTTTTGCCATTCCATTCTGTTTGAAGTGCCACATCCAATCCTCCTGAGTCCATTTATTTGCTAAAAATTCAGACAACAAAAACAATTGTGAACTTTTTTACTTTTGATACAATGAATGAAAAATATGGTAGAGTTCTCAAGAGTCGCTCATTGAAACCATGCTCATCACTATATAACACTCTGTAACCCAATACCCATAACTCCAATCTCACTTTCAAGTTCTCATTAACCATCTGTGAACTAGGGACTAAACCATTCCGATTTCGATTCCAACTATGAACCAAACGGACCCTAATATTGCATACTTCCAGCTTTTAGACTAATCTCTCTGTTATAGGACATAACATAAAAAGAAAAATTACTGATATTGGAGCAAAGAATGTTACGCAGCAGTAAACTACCATATTCAGAAGCATGAAGACCTGGAATATGAGGGAGAGATGGCCAATCTGCATACTCATTATCATTGATGCAGAAACATCTACAATACAGTGCACCACGAACTGCAAGATGCCACAAGGATCGCTTATTCAATTTTTCCATCATCTTGTGGTAGATGTAAAGCAGAAAGCGAACATCATCAGCAGCTGCACGGACCATCAATTCAGACAATGGCCTGTATGTCCAAAATTCAGGATCCTGAAAATGTATACAAGGAGATGTATCAATCCCAAGCAAGCAAGAAGATGTAGCGAACAACATCATAAATGCACCAATTGTATAACCAGTATCCACAAAATTCGGCATCCAGCTACAAGGAAACAAATCAGGTAAAAAATTGGAACAGGATAAAAATGTAAACATGATTGAACTGCTAAGCTTAATATTTCTGCAAATACACTCCATGTGATTCTTAATTTCTTGCCTTTTGTACTACATTTTGAAACAAATTAAGAATATCTGATCTGGTTCTTCTGGCTTTAAACAATATATAGGTAATTAGATATTAGTTCAGTTCTTCAGCCTGAACTTCAGAAACAGGTTTTAGAAATCAGGACTAGAATAAGTAGCCCTTCCACTTAAAAAAAAAAAAAAACAATGGTGGGTCGTTGGTACATTATAATAATGAGATAAAAAATAGGTTTGTTTATGTTTTTGACTTCCACTAAACAAACAAAGAGAAGGTGCAGGAGGTTTTGATCAACCCAACCACAGTTAGGGTGGGGGCACAAATGCACAATGGGTGAAAACAAGATAGATATCAGGGATTTCAACATGGATGACATCATTAAGGGATGTTTCAATATGTTATCATCTTTACAATAACTACAGCTTTTGAATCTTGGTCTCATCCTTCCATGGCATTAAATTCAATTTCGATGGTCTCTGCATACTCCCTGGAAGATCAAGGATAGAAAGAGCTTTCACAAATCATGATGAAGAAATACAAATCATCTATAAATTTGTATCTATCAATCTATTACACAATTCCTTTTTCCTAATTTATTTGTTGCTTGGCTGAACATTTGATCATTCCTTTATCCTTGAAGTCCAACCAGGGTTGCACATGGATTTTGCATGGTACCTTCTTCCATATCGTGTTTGTTTGGCTGAATTTTTATCCCATCTTTTTTTTCCCCGTGACCTTGCTCCCAACATACCTTGAAATTGCTGAATTTTTGCTAATCGCACTCTACCTGCTAACAATGTTGCTGGGGCATGCAGAACAGCTAATAGATAAACAATCTTCTACTGCAATGACTCATCATTACAACCAAGCAGTCTTGCACATGATACGACCAAATCCCTCTCCACATGGTAAAAATCAAGCTGGTTAGAGAATCTTAATTTTTCACTATATCAGTTCTATCATTGCAATCCACAACCTGTCTTATATATAAGGAATTGAATAAAATCAGTTCCCCTGAATGTGTTAAAAGACTGGAAGCTATTTACAGCATCCTGATTTGGAAACAAGGAAAAAAGCTATACAATTATGAGGCAGAAACAGGGAAAAAAGGTAGAGAAACAAAAAAAATAAAAAAAAACAAAGACAAAAACACAATCATGGGTCAACAATTATAACCTCGACCTCAACACCAGGTTCAATGGTAATGGAGGTGATTTGTTTCACCACTTCAGAGGAACTAGCAAGGTCAATCACCCATTTGTGTACACAGCTCAAATCTATCCCATGTGTTTGTACCCTCACCATAGGGGACTTATACTTGGTAGGGAAGCGAAAGGATGAGAGTTCATGGAACCTAATCACTTTGAAATCAGATCCTTTAGTCAAAGGACTCTAGAATTTTGGGTTGCAACTTGGGCAGCTGGGTTTGGTTTAAGGTCAACCCAGGCCCAACGCTAAGACTTGGGCCTAAGGTCCGAGCTCAAGGTCAAACCCAATCTTTCCAACCCAAGCCCAGCCCAAACAAAAAACCGACACACTTGGGTTGGGCTCAGTCCCAGGCTAGGGGCAGGCTTGGTTAGCCAGTCAGGTTCAAATGGCCTATTAGGCCCAATGCATTAAAAAATGCCCTAAACCTATTTGCACCAATAATTAATACCATTAAATAGAAAATTTGTATATTTTGAATTTACGCAAGCATGCATGCATGTGCATATGTATGCATAGTTGGGTCCAGGTCCAGCCCCAGGACCAAAAATCCAAGCAAAGCCCATGTAAAATTTTAGGCTGGATCAGTTTGGGCTCAGGTTGGGCCAGCCCGATTTGCACCCCTACTAGAATTTGCCACTTGAATGGAACAATACTTTCTTGTAAGAAGTTTTTCTTGGTGATAGTCCTTTGAGTTTTACTTTTAGAAACCATTAGCACCAAAAACAATCAATTTTCTCTAAATGACAGTGGGAACAGAAAAGGAGGAACATTGCCCCACCCAAAAAAGTCCTCATGAAGGATAGATATATAAACTCATTTATCAGGAAGCAGCTAAAGCAATTTAGAACAACTTTGAAAATCTAGCTTTTATTTGAGATTCTTGAGCAAGCTGAGGGAAGTCTTTCAGCAAAAATGGATGCATTTTACACAACTGAACTCCATATGCAATATTTGAAAGCATCTAGGAACTGCCAAATTTCTTTCTTTTTTTTTGAAATAAGAGTTAACTGATTGTATTAATAAAAAAAAAGGTACATGAGGAGATGTACATACTACAGAACAACCAGAAAAAGGAAATTACAGAGGCAGATTTCGTTCACTCTACAGAATTTCCCTAAAGGTACCCGATTCAGCTAAACCATCAGCTGTAGTATTTAGTTCTCTGGGAATCCAGATTAAATTTACAGTCATGGTGTTCAAAATGTCTCTGGCCTCGGCCAAGTAATGAGCTAGTCTTCAATGGCCTCCCTCCCCCCCAACCATCTTATTGTGTTTGCAGAGTCTCCTTTTAGAGATAGAACAGACCAGCCCTTCTCTTTAGCAATTCGAAGACCTGTGAGTGAAGCCAGGATTTCTGTTTTTGATGAATCAGCAACCCCGTTTGGGCCACGCAATGCTTTCCTCCCTTCCTCTAAAAACTCCACCAATGACCAATCCCAGAAACTCCAGGGTTTCCCAAAGCACTGCCATCAAAATTTAAAGTCAGATCTGATACCAACCTTGCAGGAAAAGCAATTGACCTGCTAGAAGGTCCTGGTGAGGAGAACAGAATTTACCCCAAACTTCTTCGCAAATCATTCAGAGATAAGCCTTTGAACTCTGCAGAAATAGAGGCCCATAGATTGCCCAAGAAAGTAATGTGGGAGAGTAAATATTTGAAAAATCTGGTTGTGTTTTCAAAGAGGTGATTATTTCTGTCTTCCCAAACGCACCATAAAGTGCCCAAGCAGTGTTAAGGAACTGCCAAATTTCTATCAGCAAATTACCATGTGGAGGCCATTTTGTTATTGGCCCACGAATAGGATCTCGTCACGGGTCGGTCCACGGGGAAAACCTCATGTTTTCCCTTGTTCCTCCCTTTTCTTGATGAACCTATCTTGGTGCCCTAATGGTGATTTGTCCAAAAGATCACCTAACTCTCCTTTACTCTCTTTCTTGACTGAATATTCGATATCCTCATTCAATAATGGTGTCTCCTTAAATAGGAGATTACAAGAGTCCTAATCTTAGGGAGTCTCCTTGCTGAATAGGGAGACTTCCAATTCTATCTTGCTAAGGATAAGATAAGCTAATCCTAATCTGATAATAAGATAAACTAATCCTAATCTGATAACAAGATAAACTAATCCTAATCYGATAACAAGATAAACTAATCCTAATCTGATAATAAGATAAACTAATCCTAATCTGATAACTTACTAACAAGATAAGATAAGAGCAATAGAATAAGATAAGAACAAGCAAGATGATCTAATCTAATCTGGCGGTGGGTCAAGTTCCTGTTGCTGCCGGCAGCGATGGTACGTCTTTCCGAGAAATGCGTCCATAACACATTTGATAACAGATAAAGTGCCCGAAATGATTGATGCATTACTTTGTCTTTTAGCAGATAAAATAATTAAATAATAAACTATTTGAAAATAATGTAGTCGGCCAAACTTCAGCTTCAGCCATTAGGAGTTCACAACCTCCTTAATAACTTATCACCTAAAAGACAAAGAATAAGTTATTCAGTCATCTGTTATCAAACGCCCCCTTGCTCTCTAATGAAGTAGGGATTCGTTATTTTCTTGCAATACTACCAAGAGGCTAGCTCCTTTCAAGATTTAGAGGAAACTATGCATTGTTGTTGTACTGCTTTTTCCTCTTAATAAATATTCATGTCATCATCAAATAAATAAAAAATAGAACTAAAATTCTACAGGCTTTCAGACACAAGAACCAAATATAAGAGTTTTATCGTGCAAGGGAATTCTGGTAAAGTGTTTGCCTAGCCTTCTGAAAAAAATAAAGGATCTTTGAGAATTTCGTCAGAACTCAACATGTTACACATTTTTATTCATTCAACAAACATACCATTTTCCTTGTGCTCAAACCTTTGGAGGGCCATGCCTAGGTAATGCAGCTCAATTTTGATGGGTGCACACTTTAGAGCATGGTTTTCAAAACGTCATTGATCTGGGAGGTTGAAATGTTCAACCCGGGAACTAATCACCTAAGTGGTTCTATTTTGCACCTCACCCAGAATTTTCCAATTGACTCGGTAATCAAACCACTTACCCAGACGGTTGAACTACTAAAACGCTCGACTCGGACTGATTTCCAGGTCATTTTTATCTTTTAAATTAAAAATAAAATATATCACAGGATGATTGATTTTAACCAGACAATCAAACTATTCAACCCGGAAATTGGTGGCCAAAGTGGTTCTATTTTAGGGTCGGGTTTTTTTTTATAGGAAACGGTAACTTTCATTAGATAATTAAAAAGATTACAGGCTTACCACCCACAAAAAGGATGGAAAAAGAAAATCAAAAACTTACAAACAGGCCCAAAACAAAGCATCCCTAGTAACTCCTTGCTTAGCTAAAGTGTTGGCCATTCCATTTGTTGACCTTCTTACCCAATTAAAGTGCACCCCAATCTCCCTTGCTAAGCTATTAATCTCTCTTAGAGGTTGTCTAAGAGGCCACACTCCCAGGTTTCCAGTTTGCATCCACCCTATTACCAACTTGGAGTCTCCTTCCACTTCTAATTGCTGCATGCCCCATTGTTTCGCCAATTTCAAACCTTGAAGTAAAGCCATTACTTCTGCCCTTAATGAATCTCCCACCCCAATTGGGCCCGAGTAAAGGGCCAAGACTTTTCCTTCCTCATTTCAGTACACACCCCCAACTCCCGACGGACCTGGATTATCCAAGGAGCTTCCATCAAAGTTTGGCTTCATGAACTGAGGCGGTGGTACCCAACAATCTTGTACCACAAGGGAGGAAGGCGAGGATAATAGCTATAACACTCCAATTTCTAATTAAGTCCATTGAGGAGAAATCCTTGAAGAGATGATGTACTTTCAGCCAGTGCATAACCTTGATGGTGACAACCTCCACAAGTGCTTCCTTGGATTTTTCTTTCCCTAGGAAGATCCTATTGTTTCTCTCTTCCCAAATTGACCATAGGATGGCAGCTCTTGTTATTCTCCACATTACCCTGCCCCTTTTCCTTGGTTGTCGGAAGAAGCTAGAGTCAAAAAGGTTCAGCACACCGAGGGGGGGTTCCATCTGTAACCAAACAAAGAAGAGAACCAATTCCACAAATAATAAGCAAAAGGACAAGAAATCAAAAGATGAGTCACTGTCTCACCATTTCTTAAGCAAAGGTAACAGACATGTGGGGAAAGGCTGCAGTCTGGCCTTTTTCTTTGAAGTACATCCATAGTATTGATCTTTTGAAGAGCCACTTCCCAGCAAAAAGCCCTAACTTTTGGCGGCACAGAATTTTTATAGGGTCGGTTTTTAAAAACCTTGTTTTGGAATGTAGGGCCTTCAGGTGTATTGTAGGCATTCTGAGAAAATCTAAGGTTGAGATTATTGCAGTTCATTCGTATGCCATTGGCCCATTGCATTAGGAATTTCAATTAGCACCAAGATTTGATTTGACTTTTAGGTTTTCAGGTTAATGTTCTTCATGGCTGAATAAATGAAAACAGGATTTACTTACAGATTGTTATTGACCAGGTGCAACTTGTGAGATGCTTCTAATGGCCCATGACCACTATATGATCATATCAGAGAAGTTGGTTTTATGTTGACTGTACATTTTGCTCAGATCATATATAAAATCAGCTAGCTCAACAGCTGAAATAAGGGTGTGGTTGGAAAGAGTGATCTGTATTTGACAAATGCTCATCCAAGTTAAAGCTTTATCTTGTAGTGTGTGTGTGTGTTCATTATTTTCTATCAATAACAACAACCAAAAGTGTTATTAATGTACTGATGTTTATTTGCTGCATACAGACATACAATAGACATAGTGAGAAGAGAGAGTGGAGAGAGGAGAAAAGAAACGAATTACAGGAGTTGGTCTCTCTCCAGTTTGCTGATATTTATAGATTTCTAATCTCATAGTAAAACAATTGTTCTGTCCCTAATGTGGGACAGAACTTAAAACATAACTTAAAATAAAGTGACACAAATGCCCCTATTCTACATGCCTATACTTTTAACAATTAACAATATAACTGTTAAGAAAACCATAATGTTTGTTGGTTCTTGTTAGCTGGTTTGCCTCTGTTGAGATTTTTCTTGTGGCTCATTGTCTTGCTTGGTGGGAAAAACAATTTGTACCTTCAACTTCTCTTTCTTTCATATATTGCCAGATCATTGATCAGTGGGAAGTATAAACCACCCACTCGACTGAGCAACATTTATATACTTGGTTGGCACAGTAGGCAAGTCATCCATGAGATACCCATATTATATGAATTACCTATAACATGGATAATGATATTCACGTTATAACAGAATGAGTTGCCATAGTGCAGTTACACTCAAAACAACAGAAGGAGACTTAAAGCTCACCTGTCTAAGAAGGACACGAACTTCTTGCTTTTCAATATATGATATACCTGCAACACATCGCCCAAGTGAAAACCGATGCAATAATACATAATAAGAGTCATGGGGAATCAAAAGAGATGTAGGAATGGATACAATCTTTGTCAAGTATTATTGATTGAAAAAGCATCGATGACACAATAAAATAAAATGATATAGAGCAGCACTTCACGAATTGTGAAATACTGTTTCAAGGGCATCCAACTAAGTTTTGTGAAGAGAGAGCTCCACAACATCACTCTACTTAAGAACTTGTAAAAAAGGGAAAGCTACTGCCTGAATGGATACAGTGACCTGGTTAACTTCTATTTTGTTCTTTTTACTTTTTGAAAATTTTAATTGGTTGGTCCTCATGAGGCAGGGGTATTCATTCACCATTCCTTGATCTTCTCTTGGAGGCTGGGAGCTTCAAAGAGCATCACATATCCCACCAGAAAGAGCTCGACTTCCTTTTTACACCACCAGTTTACCGGAGAATGGTTATATGATCTGATGTAGGTCTCATTAGAGCAACTTGAGTGATGTCAGAGATGGATATCCCCCCAACTGCTACTGATCAAGAAATGGTGCAGCTTGGACAGAGATGGAGATTCTCACCATCGCAGTCCACTTTCCCACATCTTGCCACCTATTGCCTACTCATGCTTTACCACATCTTGCAACTCGTCAATCTCAACATATCCTTGTGCCAGCTAGATTTATTTTGTTGACATATTGTTTCTTGACTTGATCAAAATTTCTTCAACTTGATTGAAACCTATGGTTGCAAGATCTTTCAAAGGTACTTCCAACTTCATCCACCAGCTTATGTCAATTATAATAGTCCCCTCAATTACACCTTCCTACAGACCTAATTGAAAAAATAAAATGGTTGGTTAGAGTGCCCTTGGCTATCAATCTTAACTACTTCCTAATTTGTAATTTCATTTTTACTAAATTGCAGGTGGTATGCTCTATCTTGGTCTATGCTCATCTTACCTCAATTTGCTCAAGTGAATACTTCAGATTTAGGATCTAATTTCTGGCATGATATTGATATTCAAGAATGTAATCTTGAAAATGTTCTGTAATTGGTCTTTGGTGTCCTCTCAACACCAGACTGTTTGTAATGATGTTTTATTTTAATGAAAAAGATTTTCTGTTATTATCAAAAAAAGACTATCTTGGTCTGGCCTATTCTGAAATATTTACATTTTATCCTAATCTCACATGCTTTGAATAAGTCGCAAGCCAGAACAGTAAGAAAGAAATCAATAATGCCACCTTGAACCAAAAGAATAGGAGATTCAGGACTTTCAACATAGACCCCTCACCCCTAGCATATTCTGTTTTCCATTTCCTCAATGAAGTAGAACAGCCTTCAGTTTCAAGGATGTACATTAAATATTCCACCAACTGAACAATATGTGGATGGTGAGTCCAATTTAGGCCACCCTTGCATAAGAGACTCTCCTGTTGACCTTGTATTCACTTCCCTGGTTCATGCCAGACATATGCAGTTATATGTTCACTCCCCTCTTTGTTTTAGGGCCTGTTCATTTGCTCTTAAGTCTGACATCTGAAAGTGCAATAATTACATTAAGAGGTATATTGGTATTGGTGAATTTTTCTTTCCTCTGAACTCTAAATGTAGAGATTGTTGTTCTGAATTCTGAATTCTGAAAATTATCAAATATCCATTTTGACCCCATATATGAGAGTTTTTGTTTGTCTTTTTTGGGGGGTTATCATTGGAAAACAAAAAGTTGTATGATTGCACTTTAAGAGATATGAGATAAGAGGAAACAAACAACCATTTTTCTCTTAAAGTTAAAAGATTCCTCTTAAGAGATAAGAGTTAAGAGGAAACGAACAGGCCCTTAGTGCCCAGAAAGGAGATGTGGCAACTGGAAAGGGTTTCTTGCTTGAAGCTTGATCTACCAGTACAAGATCTCAAACGTTTTTCTTAGTCAGTTGTGTCACAACCAACAAGGAAAGCATATCTAGAATATGAAACTAACAGAGTTCTGTACAAAATAATAATGATATCATATCAAAACATGGTAAACCATCATATTAAAAAGATAATATAATTTTATGGGATGGAGGTGGTGGCAGAAGGGAGAACTTGGTTAATTGGAGGATGATTTCTATGCCCAAAGAGGAGGGTGATCTGGGCCACAATCACCTCATGAAAAGAATTTGACTCTTCTTAGCAAATGTCTCTGGCATTTTCCTTCAGAACATGACAAGCTTGAGGCTTCAGTCATCTGAAGCAAATAAGGTAGGAACATCAATGATTGGGACAGCAACCTATCTTTTAACAGATTCACCTCACTTCACCCTTGGAAAGGTATTTATTGTAGACTTTTTCGTAGTGTCGAGAATAGAGATACATTGGTCTCTTTGGTTCTCTCTAGAGGAGATCAATGTGTGTCTTCTAATTTTCAGTTCCATAGAGTTCCCATTGATGTCGAATCTAATAAGGTTTCTTCCCTTTTGAATTCTCTAAATGATGTTCACCTTTCCCCTTCCCTCCCCGACAAAAGAGTTTGGTCCCTTACTTCTAATGGAATTTTCTCAACCAAATCCTTTTTCCTTAGTCTTGTTGCTGGCTCTAGGACCTTTTCTCTCCCAGTTAAAGGATGTGGCCTTCCTCAGCCCCCCCCTCCCTCTCTTTTTTTATCATGTTTGAATGAAAGTTTCCATTTTTCAAAAAAAAAATCAAAATTTCGAACACAGCATTACAAGTTTTTAATAGAGAAATTGCATGTCAAAAAATTATTTGCAACTAAAGAATATTATATTTTTTGTTTTTTTTTTTGTTTTTGCAAATAAAACATTAGAGGGAGAGTAAAGAAAGAAAGCCACAGAAAATAAACCAAGGGGCAGATCCCCTGTTTCATTTAATGAGTCAGGGAGAAGATGATGATGATGATGTTAAATGCAAAGTTCTATTATGTCCTTGAAATGGATATAATCCATCCATCCCATTAATAACAGATATGAACACTGAGCCAAAATCTACCAGATAATGCTAAATGCAAAGTTTCCAGTTTCAAAAAAAAAATGCAAACTTTCCAGTTACACCGGAAAGAAAAAAATCAAATTCAACAATTCTAAAAGGTAAACATAAAAATAAGTATAAGAAAAGGGTGAGAATATCAGGCAATACTATTTTTCTGTATAAAAAATAACAAAGAAGTGGCCATTTGCTATATAACAAATAACAAAGAAGTGACCATAGGGATGATGTATTACCACAATAGTGTGGATCTGCTAGGAGGCCAACAAAAGATATATAATCATCCAATGATCTTGTCCTTCCTTCTTGCTCCTCTATCAGGGAATATGCTATCTGCATGACAAAGACCACTGGAAATATCAAACTTCAAAAGAAAATCTCTATTTCATTTATCATTCATAATACAACCAAGGTTTAAAATTTCGTAAAGTATTGGTCCGTATCGGTCAATACATATCGTTTTTGTAGGAGTCCGATACGTGGAACACAACGAAATCAAGAGTTTTGCTTCTTTTCGTCTATATCAGTTCGACACAGACTCGATACAGGCCAACACTTCGTATGACTATAATTACTATCTCTAATGACTATAATTACCCCCCTCTTTAATAACTCATTTATCTAATGCTATACTAAACATGGCTTAAATTAATTCCTTTATTTAATGTTCAAATTCAAATTTGAATTTATTATATGCCATTAAGCATGCCTTAAATTGACTCCTTTATTTAATGCTACACTTAAGAAATATTTAAATTCAAATTCGAATTTATCATATACATTAAAGACACTTTACATTGGCTATAAAAACTACAATTGAGAGGATTCGAACTTTAGTCATTAGTTTGTAATGATCATAAGTCTACCATTGTGCTATATTATAGTTGCTTGTCATAAATATATGCACTTTAATTCTTAAATAAATATTATCTTCTTAAGGAATGTAGGGTAATAAATGCTAAAATTGATTATTAAAATTTATATACTAATAAAAAATAATACAAACTATATTGATTTTATGAAAATTAATACATTGAAATTTTAATTCTTCCATCGTTTTTCAATGGTAATTAAATGTGTTCCAATGTGTTGCAATGTATAATTGCAAATGAATGTGTGGAGGCTCAAGAAAGGTTAAAGAGAAAGGGAGTGGCAATTAAATTGGACTTGGAGAAAGCCTATGATCTAGTGGATTAGGACTTTTTGATTAATATCATGAAGAGGTGTAGTTTTGGGAATGTATGGTGTTAATGGATTAGAGGTTGTTTGCAAACAAGTTACCTTTCTGTTTTAGTGAATGGCTCGGCAGTTGATTTCATTGAAGGCTTATGAGGCCTTAGACAAGGTGATCCACTCTCTCCCTTTCTCTTTATTTTGGTGGCCAATATCTTAAGTAAGCTGATTTTAAAGGCTAATTCCTTGCAATTGTTGAAAGTTGGTGGCCAGGGTCAGGTTTTGGATGGATAGTTGGTGTGGGATCCTTTGAAGGATGATTTTCCGGAACTTTTTGCAGTAACTGCTGACAAGAGTGGCAGATTGTGTGCAGTTTCAAAATGGGGAATATGCATGGAACCTACTTTTCAGAAGACCTTTGAACAACTGGTAGATTGAACCATTTGGAAGGTTACTATAGAAGCTGTACACCATGCAAATACGACAGAAGGTTGTGGTCAGAGGACAGCAAGGGTCAATTCACATTAAAATCTTTCTACAATAAGCTGACTCAAGAGGAGGAGCAAGATTTTCCTTTGAACATAATCTGGTGCAAGTGAATCCCCTCAAAGGTAGCTTTTTTTTTGTTTGGTCTTCCTACCTGAACAAAATCCTTACAAAGAACAACCTGGTAAGGAGAGGAATGGTGAATTGGTGATTGATTCTCCAGATTGTGCATTATGCAACAGAGAAGAAGAATCCAGTGATCACTTGTTATTGCATTGTAGTTTTACCTATAACATTTGCATGGAAGTGCTTGGGATCTTTACTGTCAAGAGCTTCTGTTCAGTTCCAATAGAAGCGTTTGTAAAAGGCTGGTGGATCCAAGGTTTAAGTAAGAAAGGAAAAGCAAATCTGGCAAATGGTTCCTGGAGCAGTGTTCTGGTTGATTTGACAGGAAAAAAATGCAAGACTATTCCAAAGTAAAGCTCTCTCTCTCTCTCTCTCTAGGATATTTTCTGTCAAGAGCTGCTACCCAGTTCCAGTAGAAGCTGCTGTCCAGTTTGTGAAAGGCTGGTGGATCCAAGTTAAAGTAAGAAAGGAAAAGAAAATCTGGCAGATGGTTCCTAGAGCAGTGTTCTGGTCGATTTGGCAGGAAAGAAATGCAAGACTATTCCACAATTCGATCTCGATCAGTAACTGAAAAAATCCCATTTCTCTTTTTGAGGTTGAAAATCTTTTTTGTAAACTCTAACCAAACAGAGGAAAAACTTTGGAGTCTGGATGTACTCATCTGATATACGGCCTTTGGTTGTACAAAGGTTTTTTTTTCTTTTTTATTGACTTGATACTTTGCCTCTTCTAAAAAAACAATGTCAACCGAGAAGAAATGTGTTGAAAACCGGTGCTCTCACTGACCTGGAGTATGGAGACCAATATACAGTGTTGCATATAGTAGGGAAATGCCCACATTAGTAGTTTGTTTTTCTTTCTATCAGCTACATGCACCCAAATGTGGAAGTGAGATGATTATCAGTGACCAAGAAAGGTTTAACTCATCGGGAACCATAGCCACCATCAAATCCTGGTTATCCATCCATAAGGAATTCAGGAGAGTTCCAACCAGGGACTTTCTTAATTACACTTTTATGTATAGATAATATGGATGCCATATTACATGAGTATTACCAGTGCCATAATGCATACCCGCTGGTATACTTGGGTATATTTTAATTACATACATTTTTTTCCAAATGAAATACATTATACTTTAGCTTTAAACACAAGGCAGTACAAAAACGAAGCCTAGTTGCTTAATCAAAGGGAAAACAGCACAACAGGAATGGAAGGAAAAGAAAGTTCTAGAGTAGAATCATTAGAAGCCTCTACTTCCTAGAGATACAGGCCTTTCTTTTAATGGCTACTTATGGATATAGTTCTTTCCATATGATGAAAAAGAAATGCACAACACCAAAGGTTTAGAGAAGAGCCTTGCTCCTTCATGCAAGAATTATAATAGTAACTGACAAAATGTATAGAATATACATTTTATGAAAAGGTTTAGAGAAAAGCCTTGTTCCTTCATGCAAGAATTACAATAGTAACTGACAAAATGTATAGAATATACATTTTATAGAAAGGTTTAGAGAAGAGCCATGTGCCTTCATGCAAGAATTACAATAGTAACTGATAAAATGTATAGAATATAAGATAGCAATTTAAACTATAAATGCTTGCAAGTAGTCATGAGGCTTACTTGAGTATCAACAACACTGTGCAATCTTATGCCAAATTGAAAATACAAAGCCTGCAAAGGAAAAATAATATTCAAGAGAGCCAGAAAACATAATAGTAGAACTAAACCATATACACAGAATGGTACAAGTAAATATAATCCATTAGAGACCTCGCTATCACGTTTGCAATCGTGAATGACTTTTGTGACATAACTAGATTCAAGTGCAGGCTTACAGGCTTTCATAAGCATCTCCCCACCCTGAATAGCATCAACCAAATATATAGCGTCTGGAAATGCAAGCTGACAAAAACAGGAAAAAAAAACCTTTAATTGACAATAAAATAAGAATTAAGAATCTCACATGCAGTATAAAAATGTTAATTAGTAAGAGTGATGAAATGTACAACTAAAGTTCTTGAGAAACAGTGAATAAAAGCACATCAGAAGCATAAAGCATTCATCTATATATATGGCATCAATAGTATATAGTTCATATACTTCTCTTATAAATACACATAAAAGATATAGAATTTTGTTTTTTTATCAGGTTAGCTATATCTTCCTCATTTTACTACACAAAAGAGTAGTTCCCTTAGCAAATAGAGCAGAACTCATTTACCTGCATAATACAAAGAGTTCCATAACGACAAAGATCAACGCCCTCACAATCGAAGCCAATGACCAACGGCCTTTCAGGGGAGGGTTCCAGAAATTCAAGGGGGAGTTGAGATGCATGGGTAACAATGTGGATGGGAACCGATGATAGCTGGGCTTCATGATCTGGATATTTGCCACCTGGAAAACAAAAGATGGTAAATACTAATATACATATAGTTGACAAAAATGAAGTGAATAAATACCAAATTCTATCCACAAAGCAACAAACATAGATTTGGGGTGGAACAAAACAAACTTCGCGCTAAAAATGAAATAATTGGTCAGAATATAATAAAAAAACAAACATCCGAACAAATACAAGAATCCAAAGCCATAGAGCAAAAGCCAAAAGGAAGTCCAGAATAGGGACCGAATAACACAAAAAAACGTGAAGTACCTGCACCGGAAGAGAGAGGAACATAAGTCGGATGAGAAGGTGCAGAAGCCATATGATCCAGCATGCAAACAGATTACAATTTTGTTGAAAGCCGATTAGAAAGATAAGAGTCAATGATTCATCTTCAGAGTTCAGAATCTTCCATTTCCTTTCTTCCTACTTGCCATCACCCACACCCACTATTCGCGACTTTGCCGCGCTTCTGATATGAATATACGATACCTTTTTATTCCCAACCTCGGCTACTATCTAAGCGCCATGGCCCTCCAATTCGAAGCGCCAACCAACCTAGGCTCAAGCCCAACTACCCAAGTAGTGTCTGGTAGCTTTGGCAGAACCGAGCGAGACTGATTTGGCTCATCTCGTCGGCTCAGTTTAGCCCGTCTCGAGTACGAGACTGCGAGTAGCGTGGATGGAACCAAATTATAATCGAATTGGGATCTGCTCCTCACTGAGCACGTCTCACACCACGAGACGGGATCTGCTCCTTACACTTGGGCGCCTCACAAATGGACAATTAGTATAAAGTGTGAGGTCGATATATGGCGCACCTTACAGTAGCCGTTAAAAGTATTAAAGGGTGACGGGATCTGCTCCTCACAAATGGACGATTCACAGGTACATTCACCGTGCATTAAGGCGCCAGGTGTGAGGACCAGATCGGGTCCGTGTCGTCAGATTCTACTTCAAATTTCACATTATGTATAAAAGACTTACAGAGATATAAGTTTATTGGCTTAACCCCAGGTTAGACATTTTGGGCTTGACACATGTTCAGGCATTTGGCTCAATTTTTAGGTTTGGATCCTCACTGAGCTTAAACCCAGCTCAACTCGTCTCACTTTATCGTTATACGCTCAAAATGAGATCACAAAAGAAAGTGGAAAATCTATGATGCCGAAAAAGACAGATACCAAAATATAAGTTTATAAATAATAAATTTTAACTTTGAAGCATTAAATAAAATAATAATTAACCATCTAACAATTATAATCATTTTATTTTTTATGTCTCAAAATGCAATCTTATAAAATTATTTATATGAAAAATCATCTATATAATGGGCATCAGATTTATGGTCATGCAATAGTTGTGAAGAAAAGAAACAATGTAGTTTATTTGATTTATACAAAAAAAAAAATAATCAATACAAAGAACAACAAATCCATTAGGAAAGGAACGAGAAAAGCAATAAACTTGGGATGTTAAATTATAATATTAAGAAAAAAAATCCACTTCATTTATCCAAGAAAACTAATAACTTGATTGGTCTTTTTTTTTTTTTTTTGCATCGAACTCTCTTAGGCTAAAATACTAAGAGAAACTAATAAAACTTGATTTGCCTCATTGATTTTTCATTCTTGCTATTTTTATTTGGCCCATGATTATTGAAGTGTTTTTTCTATGTATTTTGAACTATAAAAAATACATAATTTTGTTTGCATGAAATCACTAAATCATGTTGATGTTTAAAGCTTATGCTTGTTTATGCCTCATGTTATACCTCACGCGGTCACGCCTTGAGACTTGGGGATTCGCCTCATTCTAACAAAAGCTTAAGCTTCAAACCAAAATTGTGAGGCTGAAGCCTTGAGGCAAAACCTGAGCACCTACCTCACCTAAATGCATACACCTCACACCTCAACGATTAAGCCTTTTAACACAATGTTGGTGTCAAGTTGGGTTTAAGCTAAGGTTTGTATTTAGAGTAGGGCAAAATTTACGTTTTGGTTGACATTTTTTTGTGCCAATTCAATATTAGGTTAAGGTTCACATTAAGAGTTAGGTTTTGGATGGCAGTTTTAGATTTTTAGCATCAATTTTGGTATAGGCTAAGGTCTATATTTAGAATTGGGCGCCAAATGAGTGGTGGCATAGTTGGTAAGTTAGCTGGTTTGCTCCAACAAATATAGGAATGTTGTGCTATTCAAATGGTGCCTTTAGGGGATTTAGGCAAAAGTTAGGTTTTTCATTTTGGTTGGTTGGTTTATGTTTTTGTCATTAATTTTACTTTAGCCCAAGGGCCATATTTATAGTTGGGCACAATGATAGATTTTGGTTGGCAAATTTAGGTTTTCCTTAACATGAGCCAATCCATTTAATTAATTGAGACCAAAAGGGGTTGAGGATTGTGTGTGCATGAGAGAGAGATAGGGGAGAGAGAGAGAGAGTTAACAATTATTTTATGGAAGAGAGTAATAATCAACCTTAACATAGACAATTAAGAGTCAATGGTTTTTTGTTATTTTCATTTTTTATGTTTTTAATCATTTAATTTAAGAATAAATAACCACATGTGGATAAATGAGAAAAAATGGAGGTTCGTGTGAGCTGTTGTTCAAAATGTATTTTTCAAGGAAAGATGAAGTAATAGCGATTCACCGAGGTTTCTATATATTTCAAATTCTTTACATATTAATTAAATAATAAAAAATCTTTTATTTTTAGTTATTTTTTGTTCAAATTTATCCCTTTTTATATGGAGAATATATTATGAAAAGTACATAAACCAACTAATGGTGGCTTAGTTAGTAGGTTCATTCACTTATTTGGCTAGTTATAGCAAAGACCTATGATCAAATCCCAAAACCACAAGGTTTGGGGGATCCACTTCTTTGCATTATGTATTATTGAGCCAAATAATCCATGAAACAAGTGTACATTAAATTAATAACTGAAGAGATAAAATGTGATAACCCATTGAAAGGAGCAATGGCTTCTTTAAACATCTATAAAAGAATGGTTCACCCTATGTATCGAATGAGCAAATTTGGATTTTGGCATTAGTTTGGGTCCAAGCTAGGGTTCATATTTAAAGCTGGCCCTTAACCTAACCCAATCCATCTAATTTACACCCTTACTTCATTAGAGAGAGCCAAAAAGGATCAATATATTTAAGAGGAAACAATAAATTTAATGGGGAGTGGGGATGTTACAAACACTAACAATTAAAGTGGGAGAGAAGAGAGAGATAGAGATTTAAGGATGATTTTATTAGATAGTAAATATGGATTTTGTGAGAGACAATAATGACCTATGTGGGTTCTAATTTTGAATTGTTACATTTTTAATGATTTAATTTAAAAATAAACATGCACATGTGTGAGAAGGGAAAAGATGAGGAGGCGCATGTGAGCTATGTGGTGAGAGGACATTAAATTAATAACTGAAGAAATAAAATGCGATAACTCATTGAAAGGAGCAATGGCTTCTTTAAACATCTATAAAAGAAGGGTTCACCCTATGTATTGAATGAGCAAATTTTGATTTTGACATTAAGATAGAGATTTAAGGATGATTTTATTAGATAATAAATATGGATTTTATGAGAGACAATAATGACCTATGTGGGTTTTAATTTTGAATTGTTATATTTTTAATGATTTAATTTAAAAATAAACATGCACATGTGTGAGAAGGGAAAAGATGAGGAGGCACATGTGAGCTATGTGGTGAGAGGACCCCTCGTTTCCCCTCTCTCCTCTTTCTTATATATATATAGATAGATGCATGTGTATGATTTATCAAAAATATATACATATATGCATACAAATGTGTGTCTATATATGTACAAATATTTATAGTTGGGTTAGGCTCAAGTGAGATAAGGACAAGTCCAACTTAGTTGGGCTCAAACTACCCAAATGCTACACCCTCACCCTAAAAAGAGATAAGATTAGCTAAGATAAGAACAATAGTTGGGTTGAGCCAATTCTTTATGAACATAACTTTTTAATGTTTCTCAATGCTTACAATGTAACTTGAACACATATAAATTAATGATAACACCAAATCTCTTAGTACTACTTTAAGCCACTAAGTCATCTCACATTTTGTGTTATTTAATGAAATAAAATAGATTTTATTAACTTTTGTATTCATCAAAACAATCACTACATGTATATGATTAACAATTCAACTAAAAATTAAAAGAAATAATATTTAAAATTAGCATTTTATAATTATGTGAAATAAACAATCTATCAAATCCAAATTTACATCAAATGATGATTTTAATCCCAAAAAGATACAAATAAAATAATAATAATAGAATAATTATCTTAGTACTTAAAATTTATAAATTTGTGCATGATATATAATATAATGGGTTATGCATCCCAGGTATCGGGTATCGAATACCCTAAAGTCAAAATCCAAACCCGTCCCAAACCCTATAGGGTTTTAATCTAAAATCCCAAATTCGTCCCAAACTCTATAAGATTTTAATATAAAATCTCAAATCTGTCCCAAACTCTATTGGGTTTTGATAAACGGGTCCTATTAGGGTCGAGATAGATCGAATACCCGAAAATTCCCACGAATTTGCCATCCCTACGCGTCCTTTCTTTTGTGTAACCGTTTAAAATGTGCGAAGCCAATAAATGGCGTTGAATAGGAGATGTTGTTAGAATTCTTCGAAAAAACTCTTTGCCACCACACAAACTCTGTTCCTACTCTCCCTCTCCAATCGCCAGTGATCAATAATTATCACCGACAATTGGAGGAAAACTCGTATTATTTTTTTTCCACTTTTTCTTCCCTAAAACATTTAGGTATTGCATTTCATTCTTAATTTTTGTTTTCCCGAAAACCTAAATCATAACTTCATATTTTTTGTGCGACAAACGGTGAACGGCGAACAACGACCGTTTTTCGATGTTACATTTCATTTATGGTTTTCTTCTATGCTTCCCTATGACCATTACCTGAGTTTTCCTCTAGTCGCCGATGTTAATAATCGCCAGTGATAGTTATTAGTCGCTGCCAATTGGAGAGGGAGAGAACGAGAGGGGACAGAATACGGTGCAAGCCGGAAAATATAAGTTTTTTTCGAAAAGATTCCAACGACATCTTCTATTCAACGCTGTTTATTGTCTTTGCACGCTTTAAGCGGTTACTCGAGAGAGAGGACGTGTGACGCGTGGTGCATCCTCCTTTTGCGCAAACGGTGCGTAAATAGACCGTGTCCATGCACTGATAGAAGCTGAACTCGGAAATCGAAACATGTGCTCGGCCAAGACCAAAAGCCGTAGACTTGTCTTTACCGTATTTTCAATTTTGGGTAAAATACAAAAACCTCTCCTGGATTTTCTAACAATTATTAAAACCTTCCCTCTAGTTTCATTTTAATAAATACCTCCCTTAAATTTTTGAGAAACTTGATCTTCCACCACTTTCTCATATAGAAAATGTTAGACTGATGTAGCAATTTCTTCTAAATACCCATTCTTCCTTTTTAAGCAACCCATGTAATACACGAATTAGACCCATATGATGCACGAGTTTGGTTGTACGGATCGAATCGGTTGGACCCGTCATTTCGTATCGAGGCTTTTCGAAAACAGGTCTCACTGATCCGCATAGGTTGTCTTCTTCGACCGAATTGTTAGACGAGTCATGCGCCAACCCGATTAATTTTTTGAGTGTTTTTACTTTTTTTTGTTAAATCTTCATTTTTTCACAATAAAGAAGACGTTTGGCCTCCTACTTGTTGTTTGCAATGGTTTGGAAGAGCTTAGACGTCCACAACCTTTTAAACGTCTTTCTCTCTCTGTCTGTCTGCATATATAAAGGGTTGGAACCTTACTTCATCTTTGTCTTCCAAACCCATTTAATTTGTTTTCTCGGTCACATTCTCTCTAGACTACTCTAGACAAGATGATGCGCTCCCCTGAGCAAGAGCTTGGAATCAGTACTAATGCGTTTAACAATAATGTCCTCACTATGAACCACAGCTTGGACAATATCATGGGCATGCCACACTCTGAGCTACCTGCTTTGTCCAATAACGTTAGCCCATCCATGGGCAGCTAGTGTTCACTACTACGTGGGTCGTTGCGTCTTGTCACCCTCATCGTAATCAGATGAATCTTTTGCTCTTCACGCTCTGAAGTTAAATATGGATCCTTTAATTTTAATTTGGGGTAATAATATATAAGCCAACTTTTGAGATTTAATATCAATAAAAATAATATATTTAAAAAAGTTTAAAAAATAGGTTAACTTTTTAAAAGTAATATCAATAAAGGACAAAAACATTGTCCATCTTATTCTTCTTGCCATTTGTTCATCAGGGCTGTCGTTGCTGCCGCCTTGTCACGGGGGTAGTTCTACAGCGGAAGAAACCCGTGCGGCGTCCTGGCCAAGGCAGGCCAAGACAAGCCTTTATGCGCTTAGAGGCTAGGAGTTGCCCGATGGGATGCCTCCACCAACGTCAGTAGCACTGGATCATGACCTCAAGTCCAATGGCCGGGGCACTCTCCTGGCTCAGACCGGTCCATGGGAGGCGCCACTTACGTGCTAAAGGGGGACAACCATCATGGAAGGCGACCATGCGCCGATGAGGTGACTTGGCACCATTGTG